TTTTTTTTTTGTGTCTGTTACCACATTTTCTCAGCTCTCATCGAACCGATTTCTTTCAACGATACGTCAAAAGATCACAAATCGTATCTAGTCGAAGACATTACCCTCAAAAATTGAAAAAATTTCCTTCATTCCCCGCAAATGGGGGAAATCTCCAAAAAAATTACAATTTTTAAAATCGGAAAATTTTGTTATTTTTTTCACTTTTTTTGCTTAAAACTTCCATAACTTATTTTATGTAAAGCGGATTTTCTATTGCTGTATCCCCAATACATACATATTTAACCATTTTTATCTCAATCCACACAGATATAATTATTAATTTTTTGACCAGAAAGAAAATTGTTTTACTATTTCCTCCAAATTTATTTATTTTCATTTTATTTATTTGATAAATACAATTTAGTTATAAAAATAAATTGATTGTTTTCCATGGTAATAATCGATTAAAACTGTAACAAGTTAATTTTATTCAGCTAGCCGAGATGACGAAGCCCATAAATATTTGTTCAAACATTTTTCTAGAAATACTCAAAACAATAAAAGTATATCGGCCGAAGATGAGGAGACGTCGAAAATAATACTGGAGACTGTCGATTACGAGGCGAAAGCGTATAGAACACAGTGAAAAATTACAAAACATTGCATGTCAATTTATTTTAATGATTTTTTTCACAAACTGATAGATTCCTTCTTTTCCATTATTTTATTTCCATTTTATTATATAGAAAAGTAGCCAATATGTTGGTGTCTTCGCTTAAGCTTTCTCGAATGACTCACAGTAATCTGTAATGCATATTTAGCAAATGTTGCTCATTAACGACATCCGTGACAGAGAAACGTCCAGCGCTCAATATCATTGTTGTGCCGGATGTGTTATTATACAAATATTCATAATGTATAAATAAAGGTTACCTATCACACCTATATATCATTAAAAATAATTATATAACTTCAAATCAAGTAAATTTTTACTTAGCGAAAAGCTATTTAAATGTAACCTTAATTTTTATAATTATGAAATTTAAGAGGAAGACTCATGTCACATTTTGTGCGAATATGAAGCCTTGTCCACACTAAGTTCAAACTATTTGAGTAAACCTTTTCCTGAAAAAGAAAATATTAAAAACCGAAGACCCAGAGAGATACTTAATTTCGCCGAAAAGACAGGAATCTTTGGTCATCCATAGGGGTGACTTAATGGTCCACCCTTATACAATGATAGGTATAATGTAACAACACTTTGATGATAACACTTAGGTGAGTAAACCGAATTAAGGCAATTCGGTATGAAGTGCGCAAAATAGACCAACAGGTCTGAGTGCATGGACATTATGTCCACCTCGATAGTAACTAAAACTAAAAGGACTAGGGATCGCATTAACAACCAATATTTAATTTTAATGGGTTCAGTTAATTAAAATTTTATTTTGAGATTAAATTATTTATTTTTATTTTTTTTGTATGTGACTCAACATGTTTAAATTAAGTTATAAGAAATTGCAAGATGACAATAAGAAAAAAATAACGAAAATTGAGTATTAGCAGCTAATGTTGTTGAATTTTAATAATTATGATTTAATAATACAAGATAAAGTTTATAGAAGTATGATAATTTTAGGATTTAACTAGATACAATTTTACCACATACCATATAGTAGCAATAGAACAGCATATTAATCGGTTAAAAAGTTCATAAACGATTATAATTCAAATAGGGGTGCAATAGAAGATAACAATGGAGTAATTATTTATGAGGACAAATATAAATGGAACGTATGGAAGAAATATTTAGAGCAATTATACGAGAAATCTTAACACACTGGAAAACAGCGACGTGATAGGACCAAGGGTGCAATTCTTACGAAGAGACAATAAAAATGCAAGTAACAGGGAAGAGTGGAGAATTGCTACAAACCAATCTCAGAATTAAATATAAAAGAAAATAGATATTTGTAATATTTTTCTTACCAAAAAATTTTCATTAACATAATAAAACACCAAAATATTAATGAGTAAATTAAGAGTTCAACAATAATTTTTTCTCTGCATCACAAAAAATTCAAACATCGTTAATCGTTCAAATTCTTGTTAAGTACAACTCATATGTGTTTTAAATGGAAGTTTTTGTTAAAAAAAATTTGTTTTGAGCAATTGATTATTATCTAATTTTACTAATTAACAATTATCTTACTCACTAGAATCAATCTGAAAAGTCTAAAATCAGATTTGGAATCAACCACAAAATTTAATTCAGAATCTATTATAATATTTTTCGACACAAAAATGTATTTTATAGTGTCATTAGTCATTATTAAAAACTATTTTGCTAAAATTTCATTTTGATATGAACTAACTAATATTTTATGTGTTATCAGTAAATCTAATTGAAACTCAATTATTTATCTATGATTGAAGTATGACTAATGATAAAAAAAAATACGTTTTCAAAATCAAAACAAACTAGGAAAGATCTGTACATTTTGGTATGATATATTTTTATTCGAAATGAACAAAATTATTCTTAATAAATTAAATATACTCAGAATTATAATAATGGTAATTTTACAGTTAAATAGGATATATAGTAACTAAATAAAACATCTTAATTACTAATTTTATATCACTTATAGATAGAAAAATCTTATTCATCTAATGAACTGTACATTGAGCATTAGAATAAAACTAAAACTCATACGCAAACTGCTGGCTTACAAAACAAAAATATGCACTTTACAATGAGCTTAAGTTAAAAATAAGCTTTGGTCCCGATTTAAGCTTAAATTCGCTGTCAAGATATATTCAGTAACTTATATCTTACATAATTAACGTATATTGAATTATCACATATATTACTATATTACAAAACTATTTTTCAATAATAGTTTACATTAGTCAGCCTTCATACACAAGAAAAAACGAAACAGTAATAGTAATAATAATAATAACAACATTATTATAATGTTGTAAATGTTGAACGTTTGAATGAAAGTAAACATTTTCAAAATTGACATGGCACTTAGTCAGCTACTAGTCATACATTGATAAAATTAGGATATCCATAGACTTCACTATACTATTTGATTGCGATTTCGAGTAAAATTCAAAAATACCTAAAACAAATATTAATGAGATTGTATATTATTAATCATATAAAAACATTTCATGTAAATATGAATTAATTAATTACTTGTTCTAGACTGGTTTGTGTTATTGAGTAATCATCAATTAACAATTCTTTCTTTGCTTGTTCCATTTTTGCGAATGCATAGGAACATGGATACTTTTTAGGAATGTGAAATAAAGCTGTGATTTCAAATTCTTCTCGTAACGTTGCTCCTAAAGAAATATAATTTAATAACTGTTCACAAGGATTTTTAATTACGGTAATTTTAGTTTAAAAGATTTCATAATTAAGTCAATATTTTATTTTACTACTAATTTATATTGAAATGTGTTACAATAAACGTCATTTTAATATACATTTAATTACCCGAAAACGAAGTCAATACAAATTCTTTGGCTTTAGTGTAGTTGTCTGGATGGAATTTTACGTGTAGTTGGTAACCTACAGAGAATTTATTTTTTAAATGTTGCACTGATCCTATACAACAAATTCTGCCATCTACCATCACGGCTAAACGAGTGCAAAGAGCTTCACATTCTTCTAGACTAAAATAAGTTTTTTTATTTTATCTGTCATTATAATTTTTAAATATCATACCTGTGTGAAGTAATGAAAACACATTTTCCGCGATCTCGCTCTTCACTTACAGTATCCCATAAGTGTTTTCGTGCAGCAGGATCCATACCAGATGTTGGCTCGTCTAGGAACAAAACTGAAGGATCTCCAATCATAGCAATAGCTGTGCTTAGTTTTCTCTTATTACCACCACTAATTTAAATTCCAAGAAATTATAGTAAAAGTTAATATCAAATCTCAGATAGTTATCATTTATATTTTATACCTATATGTTTTAGCCTGTCTATTTAGATAAGGCATAAACGCTAATCTTGATGCTAAATGGAAAGACATTGTAGTAGCCTCTTTATTAGACATTCCTCTAAGTCGACAAAAGAAATAAAGAGTCTCAAAACCTGTAAGTTCTTCAATAAGACCATTGAATTGAGGACAATAACCACCAACCTCATGAATCTAAATAAAATGCCAAATTAAAAAAAAAATGAGTTCACTGGTTGATAAATTTTTGGATTAGCATTGCAAGTAAAACTAAAGTAGTCATTTTTATGGATAAATAATAATAAGAATATATAAATACTTATACTAGATTATATACAATATGATGTGAAATCGATAAAAAAAAGTTCTAGCAAAGTAGGGACGCGGCACAGAGTGAGTGCGACATAGTTGGAACAAGTATATTTGACAGTGATTAACTATCATAAAAAACGCTTTGATGCAAATCTGTTGACAGTATATAATTTTTAGATGGAATTTTTAGATTTTTTCAAGAGAAAATTAACACCTATTCTCTTTAATTGTATCCGGATTACAAAGTTTACGATTTATAAATATTATACAGGTATGAATACTTATAAAAATTAAGTTTAGCATAAGATTGTGATATTCAATAATTAAGTGTAATAATATTGACAGAAAAAATATACAAAATAAATCTGTGAAATTACATAATAACTTGTAGGTGTATAATTTTACATTTTCTGGGTTTTAAAATTTCACTCAAGTATTTAATGCTTTTTAAATATTTGCTTAATTAATAATAATGTAATTTTTAAAAAAAATGTTCGAATTTTTTTTTCTCATATTAGAACAACCATTGGGATAAGTATCTTTTTTAATATTGTAATGCTCTTCCAAAAAATATTTATCAGATTTTCCAAAACATTATCAAAAATTGAGTTGAAATTTTTTTTTTATATGCGTATGCGTTCTCTTTTGTGTCCGTTTTGTACTTAGGTTCTTATAGGATATTCATAACAATCATAGCAAAAAAAAAATTATTGCCTCTAGTATACATTATTAAAATTTCATTAGGAACCCTTTTTTATATAAAAGTTATATTAGTTTTAAAATGCAGAAAAAATTATTTTTAATTAAATTTTGTTGTGGTAGCATAATTTTAAGATACTGTTTAACATTTCTAAAATTTATATTAAAAATGTTAGTAATGTTAGATTTAATTATATTAATATTAGCTTCTTTTGACGTAATAATCATTAAAATCGGTGAAGAGCTAAGAATTTTGATAGACAACCATCTAAAAACAGAGACTCTTACGAAACCAATATCATCTCAGTTTTGCATCAAAACTAAAAAATAAACACATTTTTTATGTAGTAATAGGTTCTTTTATGATAATTCACGAACATAATACAACCTACTAAAATTTAATTAATTATATTATATATTTTAATCAATATTTAAATTTGTTTATTTATGATTTAAACCAAATTCGAAATGAAAATGATTTTTAGACTTAAATTCCTTATGATCACAAAATTGAATTTTTGAAATAAACAGCTCATTCGTTATGCATTTTGATTTATATTTTAATTTATGAGATATAATACCTTTTATTTTAGATATAATAATTAATAATTTTTTTAAGAAAAAAACAATTTTAGGAGTAGTTTCAAAAGATAACTTTCAAAGGCTAAATAGAAATCTATAATTAGGATTATCATTTGACAGTTGTAACTATAACCATTCTGCGATAATTAAACATAATGGAAATAACATCTTAGCATTATTAAAATGATATTAAATTAAAACTGGTATTATTTCTATCACCCAATTAAAAAACATAAAAGATATAAAGTATATTTTAAGATTAATATTTAATGTCATATTGCTTACTTTTTCACGATTGTTATTAACATGAATACCGCAAACATAAATATCACCGGATGTATTTTTAATATCTCCAGTAAGCATGCGAAAAGTAGTGGTTTTTCCAGCTCCGTTAGATCCTAATAAACCAAAACATTCATTGGGTTTCAAAGCCAAATTTATTCCTTTAACAGCTTGTTTATTTCCATAATTTTTCCACACGTTTCTATAAAACAATATTTTAATTTATGATGATTACATTTTAAGAATGTTTTGTTTAATTTATATTACTTTAAGTAAAGACAGAAATTTCGTGGGTCTGTATTACTCACGACCTGTTTCTCTTGTGCCACATCTGACTCGTAATAATTTAAATCGAATTTATCTTCATTGAGAGCTTTTTTCCATAGATAGCTGTAGAGTTTTAATAATGTACAATGAATTTTGTTACCATAGTACGCTAAATACTCGCACGACAATAAAAGCGAGACACAAACACAACCCAACCAGAATAGATGTACCATATTTCTTCCGATTCCCGGACTATTCCATGATAGGTTATCTCCATCCCATCCTTTACAGGTATCTATAATTCACAGCAACATTTACTTTAATCATATGATTGAAAACAGTTTAAAATTTTAAAAAATACCATTTTTATTGAAATCACAAATATCATTGTATTCATATGCCAAATATATATTCCTAAGACCACTACTCAACGCATAATGTGGGAAATAAATCATTATTGAATCAATAGCATCAGCTTGATCTTTTAAACTTAGAGGTTGCATGTCCAAAATCAAAACTAGCATGAAGATCATAGATCCCGTTAAAACACTGAACACAGACATTCTCGTAAAACTTGTCGATGGATTTGTAAACATATATGAAAACAAACCCATCAGTGGTAAAGTAGCCCATGAAAAAGCAACCAAAAGACTTAATACCAAACCTAAAAATGTATAACAATATAAAAAAAATTAATTTTTAACTATTTTATTTTAACTGGACTTATAAAAGGTAATTTACTGCGCTTTACTTATAAGATCATTTACTTACCCATTTGTTTAATACTGGAGTAACCAGGATCATTGTATAAATATAGGAGACCCATTATAGAGAAAATTATTGTTAAATAACTTATCCAATCCCACAATAAAGAAGCACCCCAGTAAGCTAAAGGTTTAATTCCAGCTATTTGTTGCATATGTTTTGCACCACTTTGTCGTTCTTTGACAGCAAATAAAACATATACTGCACATACAAATGCTTGTGAGATACCGCAATTGAATGCAATTTGATAACCTAAATTACTCCCACCGGTCAATTTCAATAGCTAAAACGTATTTTATGTAGTTTAATATTACATTCAATTAGTAATTCAATCTTCACTTGGAACTTAAAGTCTTACCTTATCTTCTCTTTGGTATGGCAATGGATGGTTTATGATATCAATTCCATAATCTTCGCCTTTAAAAGATTTCAATATAGCATTATATACCATGTTTAATGATAATGGTGGTCCATGATAAGGTTGGTTATTAAAGAATGCTGTTATTGTGTTGTTATTAAATACAGCTCCAATTATATATTTTTGCGTAAAGGGTGCTATATTTTTTGTGGCCTATTTTAAAATTTTTCATATAAGTACGAAATATTCACCAGATATGAGCTATTAAATCACTTACTACTTTTAATAAATGGTTCTCAAAGTAGTCATACTTGTGTGTATGCAAATCATGAACTGGATTTGAGCCACATGCTTTTTTATAAGACTCGTATATACTCAAGTTGTTATCTCCATTGTCAGAAACTAACATAATAGTACTAATTGGTTCCCAATAAGTCTAAAAGCATCAAATACTATTTAATATATCCTCAAATTACCGAATAAATTTAACTCTTACTCCTAAACTCATAATCATAGCTGGAAGATCCTTCATTCCTTGCCAAGCATTAACTACCAAAAATGCTAAGCATATGAAGAATACGGTTAAGCCAATTTGAAGGGAATGTAATACTAATGAACGATAAGATTGTAAGCATTTCTTTTCCATAATAGCTCCAGCTTGAATTATAAATAGTTTCCAACCAGTTGCCCCTAAAAAGTATTGTAATAAGTATTTATAACAGGTTAATTTTATTTTTTTTATGTAATGTGAACTCACTCTGTGATTTCATATCAGTTAAATCACTTCCCGAATCATAAAAAAAATGATCAAATCGGCTTTTTGAATCGATTGATTTATGTTTCATTGAATTTATTTGGAAATCTGATAGCTTTTTGTTTTCATCTTGACCAACTCTATAATACAATATTTAATATAAAAAAATTAAATTTAGTACATAAATATTTTATTTTATTTTCACCTCATAAAGACATCCTGTAATGACGTTAGCGTAATACCGTACTCTTTTATACCTAATGATGATTTATTTTGTTCTAAAGAATTAAGAAGTTCGGGTAAGAAAGATGAATCTTCAAGTTTATATACGACTTCCATAATTGTTATGCTGCTGGGTACATTATGAGGATAAAACTTTCGAATGAAATTTGTCAATTTAGAAACACTACATTTTACTGTATCTTTGACAAGTGTTAGCGTATAACCACCACCTTTATATATAAAAATTATCATTGAAAAAAGTAATCAAAATTTTTATCAATAATTAAAATACGTACCATATTCTTTTTTTAATGAAAATGGAGTGCCAACACAACAAAGTTTCCCAGCTTTCATGATAGCTACCCGATCGCCTAAGAGATCTGCTTCGTCCATTAAATGTGTTGTCATTACCATTGTTCGTCCTTCACGTTCTGACTGTAAAATGTTCCATAACGTTCTTCTAGCTGCAGGGTCCATGCCCGAAGTTGGTTCATCCATTAAAACTACCTTTTAAATAAAGAAATTACATTTTATTATGATTAAATATTGATATTAGAAATAAAGTATATGCTTAAAAATTCCACATTACTTTAGATTTTCCAATTAATGCTACAGCCACTGAAAGTTTTCTTTTCATTCCTCCGCTAAGATGCTTAGACTTTGTATTTAACATAGGTTCCAGCTCAAATTTTTCAGTGTACTTAGCAACTTCATCTTTAAGCATCTCACTATCTAAATTCTTAAGCTAATATTCCAAAAATATAACATATAAGCATAATACGCATAATTATTAATTATAATTGAATTTACCACTCCAAAGAATAACAAATGTTCTTTGACAGTCAAATCTGGTATAAGTACATTGTACTGAGGACATAATCCAAGAGAATTACGAATTTTTTTCATTTGAGTGTTAATATCATATCCTTCAATTAAAGCTGAACCAGCAGATGGTCTTAATAACCCAGTTAACATAGACATAGTAGTTGATTTTCCAGCTCCATTGTGACCCAACAAAACAGTAATTTGGTTTGGATACATATCTAATGTTAGATTGTTAACTACCGGTTTTCCATGGCTGAACCATTTAGTAAGTGAATTAATTTGTATACCGGATTTTTCTGAGATTGTAGCATTTGAAGAGACTTTTTGGCCAAACCAAAATGAAGGCTAACAAAAAAATTGTTTAATAGTATTAATAAAATTAACTCTTTGGTATTAAAATAACTATGACTCTTTTCAGATATACAGAATGTTAAATAAGTAAGGAAACAAGTAAATTATAACAAACAATAGAAATCTGAACACTCTATATAGTATGTATAAATAGCAGTTTATTGTTTATATTTGAAATAATTATTGAGTATTGCTACTTGTCTAATGATGATTTTTTTTTAAATAAATAATATCTTACCATAATTGGGAAATACCACGGAGGTCGAAAACCGCAATTTTTTGGAAACGCTGTTTCTAGATAAATAGCGACAACCAAAAACATAACAGTATCCAAAGCTAACATGCACATAATATCAGCTATACTTAGTTTGTCATCCGGGGAAACTGTTATGGAAATATTATCCCATGTTAGACCTTTTCCAATTCCTTCAAACATTATTAAACTTTGAAAAATATATCCTAATGCAGTATTCGGTAATAATGTAGATACTAAAATTTCTCTGTTGGTCATTGACGAATATTTTGGCTGGAAGATCATAAATGGTGCATAAGAACCAAACCAGAGAACGCCACCAACAGTAGCTGCTGTATTAGCTATAAAAACAATCAATATTGAATCATAATCAAAATATTTAACAATCAATCAATGTACATAAAACAAATATAAATCAAAATAACAAAAATTATTTGAATTTAATTTTGTTGAAGATAAAACACATAACTTAAAATATTTTTTTTAAATCTTTATGATGTATAATACTTCAAAATCTCAGTACCTAGACAATATGTAAATATAAATGCCAATGACACAACTGTTATTCGCAATCAAAATAACGCAAAGAGATCATAATACGTTGTTAACTTAAAAATAATTGTGTATCAGTAATAATTTAATATTTATACTGACCTTTTTTGAAGAGTGTTGCTATCAAAAAACAATATGAAATACCCGAAGTAACGTACAATGTTAAAATGGCCATGAGTACAAACGGATCAGAATATTGGAATACTGCACCCGTAGGCCATTCAAATGTAATAAAGAATACTAAAATAAGAAGAGGTATAATCCAAATGATAAAACTTTTCAAATACCAAGCCATTGCATGTAACCAATTATCCAAGCCCATGAGCATCATGGCCTCCTACAATGACAAAATACAGAATTACCATTATTATAAAAAAATGTAGATAACAAACAATCGCAATATTAATACCAACCTTCATTTTTGATTCTTTTTCAGCAGCAATTACTTTTATAGTATTAATTGCAGTATACACATAGCTAAGCAACACAACAGTTGATACAAAAGATGTAAGAGCAGGAAGCAAAGGATCTTCAATATATTTTGGATATGGAAACCTTTGCATAATTACTTCTGGAAATATTGCATTTGGAGTCCAATAACGAACAATTTCTCTGGAGATCCGATTTTGTAGGTACAAAAACGATTCAGAACTGTAACCTATATAATTTTTTTTAATATCATTTGAAAATGTACATTATACAAATAAAGTTCACTTTTCTTACCAGGTTCACCTCCATCATCTTTTTCTTTGTGTCTAGGTCCAAAAGTTTGATATAAAGGAAATATTAGATAAGTTCTCCAGTTAGCTTCTACCGTATCAAAACTCATGTAACTTTTGTTTGTTGCTCTCAAATGACAAGGAAATCTAAATTTAACCTATGAATCCAATAACAATTATTACAATAATCATTTAATAAATTAATTTTTTTACTTACGGCTATATTTTTAGGTAATTCTGTGTTATTAGGAGAAACGTTATCGAATCGTACTCCAGCCAAGTAATATTTCATTGCATTATTTTTGTTTAAATTCTTCTCCATGTAGTCTACATACTTGAAACTTCTCACTATAAAAATTTACAATTAGCTTATTAATTCATTTTCATTTTTACTCAAATATACTTACGCTTTAAATTTGGAAAATCATTAAAAGCTGCTACCATTATGTCATTTAATTTTGGATGATATGGACCCCACGCTAAAGTGTAACTAAAGAAATTATTTTTAATCATTTAATTATTAATAAAATAGTATTTTAAGATTAATTTTATGCTAATAGTTAATAGTATTAAATGATGATAAAATAGATAAAGGATGGATAATAAATAAAAATATTGACTTAGTATTACGATTTCATAATGTATAATTACATAATTCTCAAAAAAGTAAATTATTAAAAAAAAAATTAAATTATTTTATTCTAGGTTAAGGTAATCTATTAGGTTAGATGAAATGTTTAATTCACTTACTTTTTCATGTAAAGCACTGGAGGTTGTATTATCGGAAATGGTGGGAATTTAGTAGGTTCGTTGAATTCTATGGGTTGTACCCAAGATCTAAACATTACCAGTATACATGCCATAATAGCAGGCATTAATACTTCGATAATTGATTGGATCGGGTGTCTTTTTTGAATCAATAAATTCTTCCATAGTAGAAGTTTTAGTTTTTTCGTATTATTCCACATTACTTATATAAAATCTAAAAATAAGAAAAAAAACTTTACTTATTCATATGATAATAATAATAATAAATACATTTTTTGTACGTTCGAAATGTAAAATAAAGTAAAGTAAATGTGAATTTTTAAAAAAATAAAATTTTTTAATTGTTTTTAATAGAATTAGTTAACACAGTTTCAGTCGTCGAAATAATGAATGTGTATATACTACAGTAAATTTAGCAGATTATTATTAGATTCGATGCGAAGCTGAGAAGGTATTGGTTTTACTAAGATGTGTTTTTTTTTTTTTTTTTTT